CTCCCCGGCACGGCAGCTCCCGAGGGCCTGGCCGCGATGCCCCTCGTGCGCGGCCCGGGGCCGCCTGCCTGTGCCTTGGCCAGCGGCTCTGTGCGCATCCCCTTCCTCTGCCCCTTGGCACAAACAAAAGCACCAACTTTCCAACCTGTTTGCCTCGATGCGGTTCAAGACAGACTTCGAGTTGCTAGTTGTCTGGTTCCTACTGTGCCTGCATCCACGTAGCACACAGAAAAATCACACAGAATACACATAGGGGAGCCCTGAGGGGACTAAGTACTTGGAAATAATAGCTGAAACAAAAAGTTAACTACGAGAAGAACATAGTTGTATGGATTCTGAGCTCTTGTCCTGCAGCAAAGTCCAAAATTTGAAGATGGTTCATTCCAAATTCAAATAATTTGAATTGCCCATGGATCTGAAATTTTAGCTTTGTATTTTAGAAGAGTAAAGTGACATTTTATTTGATCTCGTAGCTACCAGTTATGCTATGTACTGAATATTCAATAATTTAAATCCTTATCTCTTGGCAAATATATATATATATTATGCAAAGCAATAGGTGAAATGCATACACTATCCATGAAAGCCCATTCAACTTCTCTTTGGCATTACCGAGAATTGCGAGCCAAAGTGAGTTATTTCAGAGTTTGAGTAAAAATCCATTACATAGTCTTAAATTAGCCCTTCTCATGATTTTGGAATAAGAAGAAAATCTTAGTATTGGTACATTTTCCTGATGCTTCATTTTTCTAATACAAAACAAGGAAGAAATTGCTGTGTTGTTCTTCTGTTTTGAAACATTGCCAGGATCAGCATCTCACCCAGCATCTGCCTCTAGCAGCTTTGGAAATGCTTGCAAACACTGTTTTGAATAAAATTTTAATACAAATAGTTTCACTGTAAGATCAACACATGGTTCTTCGTCTGAGGATACTTAAGTCTCATCTAGAGCAAAGTAGTTATTTTGTAGCATAGTTTTAGGTTGGGTTGAAATTGCAAGGCTTAACTATCCTTTTTCAATAACTAGGGCTGTAAGAGACAACTAAGCAAATTCTTCTTACACAAAACAAATGTAAATACAAGGTTGCTCTGCAATTTGAGCGCTCCGGGCAAAGCACCTTCTGTGTACGGTGCAGGGCGTCTGGCAGTAGGTAGGAGAGACAGTTCAAAGAGAAAGGCAGAGCTCTGAAACGCTCTAATAGCAAAGCCCGGAGCAGCTCTGCAGGCTGCAGGCCTTTTTGTGGGGTGTTGGCTGGAGAGGCTGGAGCAAGAAGAAACTTTTTTTTTTTTTTAACTTTCCTGTACTTGGGAAGCAGGAATTAAAATTAAAAATCTTGGAAACAAATTTAAATGCACCAAAGGAGTCTTATTTCCTTACGATTTCCCTTTCTAACCAGGTTAACATGTTATTTTGGCTAGGCATACTGGTCAGAAGGGGCAACATCCTTATCCGGGTTCATTGGTTTCTAGTGAGGAAAGACTGTAAACTGGAGTCCAGGTGAACTGATATAAAGGAAATATCAGAGTTGTTTATAGAAACAAAGATTTGAGTGATCAGAACTCCAATAGAGGCCTATGGAATTTGAGCAAGCAGTCTGGGTGAAGTAATGTGGAATTTCATCATAGCTAACTGCAATAAAATGCAGGAAAAGTATCTTACAGGTATATTTTGTGGCAGTCTCTTTGAAAGATGTGGCTAAGGTAAAACATGAAGAGTAGGCAACTGGTTCGCACCGAATCAGAAGAGCTACATTTTGACACTTAAGGCTATTTAAAAATAAAACGGAGTTTAGGGGGATCTTAGCTACCCAAAACCTTCTTGGGAAAAAACTTGGGGAAAAAAAAAGGTGAATCAGAGTTGCGATCTTTTTAATGAGGACAGAAAGAGAGGAAAATGTTTCCAAGCACAAAAAGAAAATTGAGGGCACTTCTGCAACCCCATTCTCTTCCAGCTGCCACTGAAGTAAAGTTTGTTTCATCATTAACTCTGATTGCAGAGGCATGTATGTGAAAAAGGAATCCCTTTCAGTGGTCTGGGTATGGTTAAACATCTTCTGAAGAATGTTCTTGCAACTGTTTCTGTCCTCGTTTAACTATGTCAAAATCCCTTTCCTGTGGGACACAGATGCTTGTGCTTATGGCTTGGGGGGCAGTGTTACCAGGAGACATTCCTCATGGGCACGTGGAAAGAGGGTCTAAGAGAGAACTGAGCAGAGAAAGAAAGACTCAGGTTAGGGTGAGAGTGATAGCACATTGCCACTGTGACATTATCCTGTAAGAAAGAACCTGTAAATGTGCAAACAGTTCAGCTTAGATCAGCTGTCATTTCTCAGATGTTTTATATTCATTTGGCCTGTGAGGACTGTCATCATTCTGGGCTTCAGTAGAATGATGAATGTAGCCAAATGGGGCCTGCATTTACAATCTGGGTCACTCTGTGTTCATACTGGTGGCTTCAATTGCTGGTGTTTGCTCAAGAGGAGCATACAAAACCATGACGTACATATTCTAACCCAAACAAAGACGAAACAGACTACTCAGAAGCTTTGAACTGCATCCTGCTTGGGGTGTGCCTTGCATGCTCTGTGACATTAGAAAAAAACTCAAGAGGAGAAGCAGAGTCCAAACTCAAAGAAAAGATTTTAAGAAGGCTAAAATAAGCATTAGTACAAGGCCATGTTAGGTGCTGTGATCAGCTTTTCACAGCAGTGTGAATCAGAGTCCCAGGAGAAAGAAAACTGAAGTTGTAAAATGGATTATTTTTTTTTACCAGAAACTTAATTTCTCTGGTGGGGGAAGTAAGAGGGAAGGACCAGGATTTTGCACATTGCTGAGAATGTGCAAATCATACAAGTATGATTAAGATATCATATTGCATCATCTGTTTCTTTTCTAACTGAAATAACTTATGAGATCCTGTGCTTTGGCTAGCTACTTTGGTTCAAATCTTGGCTGCTATGGGTAAAAAGGAGGTAACAATATGCTCAGAGTAAAGTCAATATTCACTACTGAAGTCTGGTCCTGAAGACACTTGTCCTCTACTGAGGTGTTCTGCAGCTTTTAGCAGACATCCTGGAAAGGTGGACATTCCCACTGCCTGCTAATCAATCAGCAGCTTTTAGTTCCCAAACTCAGTCTCTCCCATACCATATACATGGTTCAGCTTACTTTTCCACCACATACTGTCTAAAAACATTGCTATTTCATATGCAACAGTATCAAAATATAGCTCCAATAGCCATGAAAAGATAATTGTAGAAGATAACATAGTCAAATTCATTTAAATAAACTGTTTCAATGCCTTTTCTTAATTCGTGATTCTACCTTTTTTTTTTTTTTTTCCCTGCAAACAGTGTTTTGACTTTGCATTTTCTCTTCAGATTATTCTCTGGAGCCCTTTTGCTAAGATAAGGTTTCTACTCAAAAGAACTGAAATTATTTTTACTATTTTTTTAATTATATTGTTTTTCCAAAAAAATGAACATACCCTAGGTTATGAGATCATTTTAAATTTCCTGTCTTACTCCCATTACATTAACAAATTCAGAAGAGACCTCAGTGAAAGTCTAGACAAAGGCAGGAAATGGGAGGAAAACTCACCGGTTCTAGGAAAGGCCGGCACCTGCAGATTGACACTGGTGCCATCAGCTCTTTAAAATACTTTCACTTGGGTAAGAAATGGGTCCTCCAAGGGCAGCGCTGTATACGGAAGAGTAAATTCATTTAATAAGCAATGCCATCACTTTCCCGATAGCCCACCCAGGATGTTGTTCCCCAGAAATGCTATGAATTAATATGCTGACCACACATTCTGGCCACAGGAGCACAGCATTAAATGAAGGTCAGCATCACAGCACCACAGAATGGTTGAGGTTGGCAGGAACCTCTAGAGATCATCTAGTCCGACCCTCCTGC